CGGCCCCGCCTCCCGCCACTGAGCGGACTCGGCCCCGCCTCCCGCCACTGGGCGGACTCGGCCCCGCCTCCCGCCTCCCGCCACTGAGCCGACTCGGCGCCGCCTCCTTCTTCCTGCTCACTTCACACAGGTTTCCCTGGAGGCTGCTTCTACCTTTCTGTGAGTGTTTTCAGATGGGACTGTGAATGGTTTGGGGGAGCAGTCAGCACGCCCGGTGACAGACGCCTGCCTGCTGAAACGTTGCCTCTTCTGATCTCGCCGCGAGGGCGGGGATCGCGGGTAAGTTGGTTCCCTCGTTAGGGAGGAAATGGAGTTGGGTGGATCTGCACGCAGCTCACAGGTGCAGCAGGCGCTGGTGTCAGCGACTCGGTGTCACTGCGTCTCAGTCGCAGCCTGCCTCCCACTTGGCACACCCGCCCTGCTCTGCCAGCCGGCTCCGGCCCGGCGCTGCCAGGAAAGGGCGCTGCAGGGGGCCTGCCGATGAAGAGGAAGGGGAGGGGCTGCAATGCTGCTTCCCCGGTGGTGCCCGTTCCTTCCCGTAGCAGCAGCTGAGCCCAGCTGGCAGTTTTTCGAATATGTGCACACCAAGTACACGGTGCCAGCCTAGCCCCCAAGACCTTACCTTCAAGCCCAGAAACAGCGCCACTGGCCAGCTGGCAGCCCTTCTTCAGCAGTGAGACCCCATCCCAGATTCTATGGCCCTTCCCTGAACTGTTTTAATAATTCAAACTTGTAGCCTTTGTTCCCTCAACCCAGAGAAACTGTACTTCTTAGCCCCATGATACTTGGACCAGTACTTCTCAGCTGTGGTCCCAGGACCAGCAACCTTACCATCTCCTGGGGACGTTTTAGAAATGCAGATCCTCAGGCTCCACCCAGCCAGTGCCTGGCAGCGCGACCAGGACGCCCCGCTGACCCTGACGCAGGCTGATGTGCGAGGACCAGTGCCCACTGCCTTGGGGGTCTCACTTTACTCTTTCAGATAGCTAGTTACAGTATAGTTCATAATTCTTTACATTAAATTTTGTTTAAACTACTGGTGTGGAACACCTAATACAGAATTTTACCAAACATTTAAGGAATTATGAACATCGATCCTTCTTTAACCCTTCCCAAAAAGAAGGGAACATTTCCCAACTCATTCTATGAGGTCAGCATTACCAAAGCCAGAGAAAGACATCACAAGACCAATATCCCTTATGAATATAAATGCAAAAATCCTAAAAATAGTGTACCAAGTTCAGCAGCACATTAAGAGGATTACACACCATGACCAAGTAGTATTTATCCCAGTACCGGAAGCGTGAATCACCGTATAAAAATCAACCAATGTGATAGAGTTACACACTGTATTAATAGACTGAAGGGGAAAAAAACCCCACAATCATCTCAACTGATGCAGAAAAAGCATTTGACAGAATGAAACATCCTTTCATGATTTAAAAAATCCACTCAACAAACTAAGAATACAGGGGAACTCCCCACAACATGATAAAGGGCATCTATTATGAAAAACCTACAGCCAACATCACACTCAGCGGTGAAAAACTGAAAGCTTTCCCCTTAAAATCAGGAACAAGACAAGGATCCTCGTTTTTGCCACTGTTATTGAACATTTTACTGAAAGTTCTAGCCAGAAAATTAGGCAAGAAAAATATAAATGAAACACACCCAAATTGGAAAGGAAGAAATCTGTCTCTATTTGGAGACATGATCTAATATATAGAAAATCCTAATGAACACACACACACACATGCACACACTTCTGGAGCTAAGAAATTCAACAAAATTGCAGAATACATGATCAACATACAAAAATCAGTTGTATTTCTATCTACTAGCAATGACCAATCTGAAAATAAAATTGAACTTTAAAAAAATCCATATTCATGGGTAGGAAGGCTTAATATTGTTAAGATGGCAATACCACCTAAAGTGATCCTCAGATTCAAAGCTACTCCTATCAAAATACTATCTTTTTTCCCCTCCAGAAATGGAATAGCTGATATTAAAATCTGTATGGAATTTCAAGGGACACTGAACAATCTTTAAAAAGAACAAGCTTGTTCTCCTGACTTCTGAAAACTTACTATTATAAAAGCTACAGTAATCAAAACTGTATGGTACTGGGCCTCAGCAGAGACATGTAGACTAATGGGATAGAAGGAAAAGTACAGAAATACGAAAAGTGATTAACACGATCACTGTTAATCAGATTTTGACAGGGGGAAAAAGTCTCTTCAAGTGGTGCTGAAATCACTAAATATTCACATGCAAAAGAATGACACTGAAATCCTACTTCACACTATATACAAAAATTAAAGATGGGTCCAAGACCTAAATGTAAAAGCTAAAACTATAAAACTCCTAGAAGAAAACATATGGGTAAATATTCATAACCTTGAATTTAGCAACGGATTCTTAGATATGACACCAAGTGCACAAGTAACAAAAAAAATGAACTGAACTTCATAAAAATGAAAACTTTTGTGAATGAAAAAACACTATCAAGAAAGTAAAAAGACAACCCACAGAATGAGGAGAAAATATTTGCAAATCATATATCTGGTAAGAGTCTAGTATCCAGACTAAAGAACTCTTGCAACTCAACAACAAACATCCCAAGCAAAAGTGGGCAAAAGACTTGAATAGACATTTCTTCAAAGAAATTATACAAATGGCACAGAAGCACATGAAAAAATACTTAACATCATTAGTTATTAGAAAAGTGCAAGACTGTCTATAAACAACAACAGAACGGAAACTAGCCAAGCGTTGGCCAGGATGTGGAGAAGCAGAAGCCCTCCTACACTACTGACGGGAACGTTAAGTGCGGCTGTGAGAAAGGAGTTAAACAGACTCCATGCGTAGCCCAGCACTGCCGTCCCGTCATAAGCCCAGGAGCTGAAGCATGTTCACACACACGCTCAGGACCAGACAGTTCTTAGCAGCATCGAAAGCCTAAAAGTGGAAACCACCCAAATATTCAGACATTTGAGCAGTAAGTTATCAACTGACAAATAAAGAAAACGTGCTGTGTACATACAATGGAATATTAGTCAACTTTAAAAAGAAATAAATTTGGCACATGCTGCGACGTAGATGAACCTTGAACCATGCTGTGTGAAAGCAGCCACACACAGGTCACATGCTGTATTCCTTTACATGGATTGTCCAAAAGAGGCAAACACAGACAAAGTGTACTATTGATGGGGTGGGGATAGGCGGAGTTGATAGTGACTGCTAATGGCTATGGGGTTTCTTTTTTGATATGATAGAGATGTTCTGGAATCATAGTGCTGTTAGCTGCACAACCATGTGGATAAGCTAAAAATCAGTGAATAGTACACGTTGGAATGGTTAAAATGGTGAATTTTATCTCAATTTTAAAAACCTACCTAATTACAAAAAAAAAAAAAAGCCATTTGCTATATTGGATAAACTTCAATTTTGATAAACAGAGGTAAAGAACAGAGATGCTATGAGATCATCTTTAAAATGCTGGCAAACTACATTTTTAGTTCTGTGGCATTAGATATTCACATTGCTGTGTAACTATCCTCACCACCCATCTTCAGAGCTTTTCTCATGTTACAAAACTGAAACTCTACCCATCAATAACTTCCCGCTCCGGCTTTCCCCCAGTCCTGGCAACCACTATTCTACTTTGTCTCCATGAATTGGACTAGATTTTTCATAGAAGTGGAAGCATACAGTATCTGTCCTCTTGTGACTGGCTTAGTTCACTTAGCGTGATGTCCTCAATGTTCACCCATGTTGTATGTATCAGGATTTCCTTCTTTTGTAAGGCTGAATAATAACCCACACTGTATATTTTCTCTATTCCTTCATGGGCACTTGGGTTGCTCCCACCTTCTGGCTTAGTGAATAGTGCTGATAATCAACATGGGTGTGCACGTGTCTGTGTCCCTGCTTTCTGAAAAAAATAAAAAATATGGGCCTTCCCCAAGTGAGAATACAAGAAGTCCACAGCCTACAATCAGAAGAGGGTCCTCATCAACCATCCAGTTGGTTGTAATGGCAGAAGAAGACATTAATGAAGACTATCCGGTAGAAACCCAGGAGTGTTTATCAGCATTTGAGAGTTCCCCCGGTGCTGTCAATGACATGCTGAAGACCGTGATGTCTGTCTCCGAAATGAGTTGCTGCAGAACTTGGACCCACTTGAACAAGCAAAAGTGGACTTAGTTTCTGCTCACACATTAAATTCACTGTTTTGGGTTTACGTGGCGACTCGGTGAGTTAATCCCAATCAACAGCCAGTGAAGCAGGAGCTGGGAAAATCAGCAGACACGGAGCAGAGGCAGGGAAGTGACAGGATGGCTGCCCAGCCGGATGGGCAGCTTCCAGATTTGTAAAAAATTCCCTCTGGGAGCCAAAACCTAAAAATGTATCCAAAGTTGCCAGTAAGAGAAAAAGTAAAAAATAACCTTTTATTTTTGAAGTACACATGTTCAAAAAGTATATCATTTTTATTGTTTTATGCAAAACAGATGGTGATTATGTGGCAATGCACAGTTTAAATGTATTCCTTATTGAATTCATATATAAAATTTACATTTAAATTTGAAAAAATAAAATAAATAAAATAAAAAACATGCACTGTCCATGGACACAATAAGGTGGTGAAGGCCTAGGGTGTNAGGGAGGGTGGGAAGAAATTAATAGAACTTGCCTGAATATATGCATAACCCGGGGACACCGACGACAGTGAGGTGAAGGCCTGGGGCGTGGCAGGAGGCAGGCAGAGAAGGGTAAGGGGGAAGGGGGGCATCTGAAATACTCTCAACAATAAAAATTAAAAAATAGTTATGATCTGTTATTAAAGGAAGATTTTTAAGGAAGTTTGTTAAAAATTAAACTTTGAAAATACACATATATTTCACATTAAGGATTAGCAATTTACTTTAGTTGAAAGCCACCCAAAACAGAACCCAAAGATCAATGGTACTATTTACTTTAAAGAAACACAAAAGACATAAAAAAGTATCCATTGCAAATTTATTATGCATTAGGAAGCTTAACTTAAAAACCAACAGCACAGTAAAAAGATATGTCATTTCTGTTCATAGCAGAACAGGTTTCAAAATATATTTTCTTTTAAATGTATTGTTAGTACATAATCCTTTACAAAAGTTGTATATATATTTTTTGTCAACACCTTCATTACATTTATAAATACAAGATTTACACAGCACTCCATCAAAAAAAAAGGTTAAAACCCTTAAAAATATCTACATATATGTCGTACCCATAAAACTTTCAGAGGAGCGCTCTGTTCAACATAGGCCCTGTGAATGTAGATCTGTAGTTTCCTGTCTGTACATCATCCTGAAAAACTAGCACGACACTTATTGTGAAACGAAGCTTCCTAAACCATATTTTAGAAGGGATCTGATGTGCATATTCCCATGAGATTCAAAAGTCAGACAAGCAGGTGGAAATAAAGACCTACTGAAAACACATGCATACTGCACAGAGCAGTTAAGGCAGGAGTGTGGCGACTGAGAAAAGCTGAGGATACAGGAGACGTGGGGAGGAAAAGCAGTAATGCACTACCTGGGTCTGAACTTGGACGTCAATTCCACTGTATCCAGTTCCTAACTCTCACCCTTACTTAGGAATGTTTGCATTGTTGAAACTTTCTTAGAAGCACCCTCCAAATTCTGTGTTGCCGCCAGAATGCCTGATGTATCTTCTGTAAAATCACCCTGGGTCTGATCAAGACACTAGGGTGAGAAATCTGAATTGCTATTTTTTCATGATTTAAACTTATAAGAAAAATTTTCTTAACTGGTAAAGGATATCACTGATCAATATTATTAATACCCAGAGGTGTATATGCTAATTTCATTCTAGCCAAAAATATTAAGTAGAGACAGGAAAGGAGAGTAAGACTAGGCTTTTGTTTGACCTTTGAACGAAGGCAATAAATCCCTGATACTGAGCGGCTCTAGGAGCAGCCACTCATAAACACCTACGGGCTAAGCGGGCACTTTTCAGAGAAGCAGGAAAGAGGAAAAGAAGGGATTCTTTACTTTAAATCTGGCCAGAGACGGCAGCCCCACCACAATCCTGCACCTTCTACTGAAAGGGACATGGGGACTGCTGTCACTCTTACTCTGCTGGTGATCAAGGAAACCCATCCTTTCTCACAGAGATATGACTTTTCCTATTTGAGTTTCAAAGTCTAGACTCCAGATAACTTTGAGTGTTGCATACTATTTGCAACAACGTATTTCCAATCTTAACTTGCTCCAATGTACAAACAGAAAAAGAATGGAAACGGAACGGGAGGCAGACGGTTACTTATCAAACTTGGCCCTAAAGGATGCCACTAGCATCTCCCCTCCAGCACCAAAAAATCTCCATGTGGTGTGGCCCCCAGGGGCTCGAGAGAGACGGCGTCTGCAGCCTCCCTCTGCCGAGCTCAGAGCTCGGTGCACTGACTCCCGGGCTCCCAGGTGCTGCTGTCTGGGAGCAGGGGCTCAATGTCCTCATCGTTGGCCCGTTCTGGGGTGCTGGTCACGCTGCTGCTGCCGTTGCTGTGCTTTTTAACTTCATTATACTCAGGGATGAATAAGGCAACCAGAAAAGACGTAAGGACAATACATGCCCCAACTAAAAACGGCGGGCCTGGGACGCGCGCTCCCTGGCAGGAGGAGGAAACAAATGGAGATGAAGAATCGGTTAGTCTTTTCAACACAAATTAGTTTCGGATGACCCAAAAAACCCCACGCCACCTCAAAGTGAATAAATTTCCTCATGAGCAAATGTTTCATTAAGTGCCAAGGCAAACTCGCCCAGAGCCCAGGGTTTGGAATATGACAGGGCGACCAATCGCCGCTTCTCATCGCTTCTCAACAGCTGCCCCCCCGTGAGGGCAGAGCTTACCTCTCATCTCACCCTGGGACCTCAGGCATGTATTCTGTACCTGAACATTAATTCCAACTTTGTATAGAAATCTCTATTGAGTACTGTTTAGAAGGAAGGAGGGAAGAAATACTAAATAAAGAATGGGAAAAAGATTCGAGTTCAGTTTCTAGCTGGAACTATAGGTCATCTTACATTTTATTGGCCTGGGCTTTACCATAAGACAGCATTACGATTACAGTTATTGTGCGGGTGAGAACAGACTCTGAACAGAATTAAGAGAAATCTTTTATATAAGATATTAAGTGACTGAAATGATCCCTCCCCAATCCCAGGGAGCACTGAACACAGCACTCACTATGGTCAGATCCAGTAGTCATTATACAAATAAGGACTCTCCAAATTTAAGGTCAGAGGGTTTTGCTACAATCAGACATAATCATTGTTATAAAACTAAACTTATCACCACATTACCTGCAAAGCAGCATTGTTAGAATTCAATTCCGATTCCAGCTCAGTCAGTTCCACATGGAACATGTAGAATATGAAGCCATAGAGTGCTGGCCCCAGGCCATTACACAGCCCTCTTATTCCAGTTATGATCCCCTGGGCAACTCCTAAGTCAGAAAAAGAAGGAAGCCAGTCTTCTCTGAAAAGCACGTCAAGACCAGGGACTTAAGAAAACTTTCTTACAAACTGTGATGTACCGACTCAGCGGGACTGAGTGTCCATGCTGAGGAAGGCAGGCTAGGTATTTCATCCATTGTATTTTCATTCATTGCACAAATGTGTTCTTGGTTCTACTATGTCCTTTTAATGTTGTCCCTCTGTACCCTACCACCCATGAGGAGGTGAAATGACAGTGACATTTCTGAAACCCCTTAGGGGCTGGATCCACATAACCGCTACAGTCCTATAAATGGGGAGTAAAACGAGAACTTTAATATCTCCACGTACAGACAATTTTCACTTTTCTGTGCTTTAAGATTTTCTTGCTTTACTCATTTAACAGTGTTTTTATAATAAAAATCTGCCCTTTGCCTCCTGCAGCCCTGCCCATGTGAGTCAACATCAGTCCCGATGCTGTGCGCTCCCAGCCACTGGGGCAGGCTGCTTCCCAAGGTGACCTCCGCATTTCTGGTGCATCTTCTTGTGGACCTGCACTGAAATAGCCCACAGGTGCCAATTTCTAGGTCTCTCTGGTTTCTAACACGACAGGTAAAAAATTAGCTTGAACTGTACAAAATGCATGTTTCTGTAGGTCAAAAATGGTCAAAGATAATTCACCGAATACAGTATGTTGTAATAATTTTGTATGCTGACATTTAGAAACATCCGTGCTAATCCATATAAGCATAAAAAGAACCAAAGAGAATTTATGTCATGAAAGACAGGATCGTGTCTCTCAGGTACCGGGCTGTCACTCGTCACACCTCTCCGAGGACGTGCAGCCAGCTGAGTTCCCACAGCAGGGGACACAGGATTTGTGGTCAGGTGGCACTATTTTGAAGTGTGGGTGTGAATAAGATGGCTGATTTCTGATGTGAAAACAGGTGCAAAAAATAAACTTTTTGTTAAAACTTTTTAAAGGGTTCTAAGGCACTTACATTTTTTCCTTCTAAAAGTTATTACTTCCTGACTACAGTAAGGTGAGTCATTAAAAGGTGAAGGAGGATTAGTTCTAGCAGAGGGAATGCTTGATGGTGAATCCAGAGGCACAGGATGGAGTAAGTCTACAAGCCAGCCCCACAGTCAGCCTGGCTTTGCCTCTCACTGTCAGTTATCAGTGGCTGCGAAGGTTTACTCTTCACCCTCTCAGAGAACCATTCCCAAGTCCAACTAATGGACTTAGAGTGACTCCAAATAGAGATATTTCAGTGATTATAGTGATTAAATAAAAAGCTCACTGTTTCACTAACTAGTGCATCATTATTTAACAGACATCTGTTAAAATGTGACTATAGCCCAGCCGGCATAGCTCAGTGGTTGAGCATCCAGGAGGTTGAGGTTCGATTCCAGGTCAGGGCACAGGCCTGGGTTGCGGGCTCGATCCCCAGCAGGGGGCGTGCAGGAGGCAGCCGGTCAGTGACTCCCATCACTGATGTTTCTGTCTCTCTCTCCTTCTCTGAAATCAATAGACATATTTTTTTAAATGTAATTATAGTCTATTTAATTCTGATGGCATCGTACTAAAGAGGAGTCAAAACCAAAAAGAGAAAACAGTTCTATTTCTAATTCTTAGTACCCTGAACTGTCGAATGCCCATTTTAACAGCATGAGCATCGTCTCAGAGCAGGAAGGAAAGCAAGCCGGTGTGATGACCGAGAAGGGGCCACCTGGATGGGAAGAGAGGCTCAGAGCTGCTCATGCTTCCGGCAGGTACGTCTCAACTGAAGGAGGGCAACAGAGAGGGGACAGTGATCTCACCTTGCTGGTCGGACTCTGCATTCTGAGAGACGAGGGCGCTGACTGCTGGGAACGTGATGCTGGACATGGCAGCCACGGCCCCGGCTGCCCACACCATCCTGCAAGGACAGGACAGCCTCAGCTGGGCAGGCCAGCCCGAGAACTCGCTGCTCGAAGGACAGCAGTGGCAAAAGCACAAAACGCTTCCTGTTTTCTCATGTCAAGTTGTATTTCATTTTTCTTTTTTACTAAGGGATTTTTTTTTAACCTGCAAAGTTATACATCACTTCACAGGCTGAGAAAGTTTCATTTATTTTATTTCACCTCTCTGAAAACCTGTTCTCATCCCTGACTTCCCTATGACTGCCTTTCGATGTAAGCTCAATGAAGTTCAAAAGGACCTGTTTCTGTGACCACCACCTTCCTCCACCGATTTCCTCCTTTCCTTTGCAGTTCTCACGGGCTTGCCTGCACACTGCCCTTGAGCTCCTCACTTTGCTACCAGCGGAGAAGCAGCCCTGAAGTGCAGGACAGCATCCCGCAGACTCAAGCCTGCTTCCTTTAGACTTTGGGCCTTTTCTCAATGAAAGGAACTTAAGTGTGTATCAATTTAAGCATTAAGTGTGAGGCCCCAACTGGGCTTAAAATCCTGTTGCTCAGACTTCCCTGGGGATGGTTGACATGCACATCCTTAAAAGGAAAAACCCTTCAGGCTGACAAAATCTTTTCCACAGCAGGAACTTGGCTGACTCAGCTACTGAACCAAAGTTCACAGGACTGAAATCTTAAGGGAAAAAGAATCATCTGCTGACCTCTGCAGCACGTCCAGTTTCCGTAGATTATGTAATGCATGCAAAAATGAGGACTGACTCTAATATCTGAGTGATAAGAACTCCGGTGTTGGGTAAGCAGGCACATGGGGAAACTAGCCACATAACGAAACAGCACTCTGGATTCTCTTTTTACTTCTTCTGATGCCAGGGCTTATTTTGACCTTCCTGTTTACGGGAATATAATATGTTAGCAGAAATAACTGCCTCGGGATACACATGATTTTGGAAGAGATTAATCTAACTCAAATGCTTTATGTTATAAAGGTTTTGTTACTGCCCAAGGTCACTCAGCTAATTACAGCAACGAACCCTATCATTTTTCCTTGTCTTTTTGAGTATAAGTTATGTCCCTAAAAACTGACAAATGTGTTTAAAAGGTAGACATAACATATTTGGAAGGGCTGGAGAAGGAAGGACACACATTTAATTAAGAAACAACTTATTGAAAGCCATGAAGGTGAAGACAATCTTTACAAATAACCCCAAATTACCTAGCTCCAGCCTTCCCAAATTAAGTCTAAACAGTTTTTGAAATGTCAACTACACCAAGCTGGTAAAATAACCCTTGCTTCCTTCATATTACACTCAATCACTAAAGCTCCCCTGAAAGATGCATCTTTCTGCAGGTTCATGAGACCCCATGAGAAAGGCTTACCAGGCCTGAGATCCAAAACCGTACCAGGCTAACTGGAGCATCTGGAAACCCAAGCCCAGCAGGACGGTGTTCTTATTCCCTAATGATCTCATCAAGATGGCAAGAACAACTGTCTACAAAGCAAAGGAGAATACACTGAGGAACCCAGTCATGAGCCAGGGACCCCCTGAGCTGAGGCCGTGGAGACCATGTGGTGCTGACGCAGTTCTAAAGGGGGAACTTCGGCAGCTCTCGAACTAACCTGGGGCTCAGGGCCCTTAGCCTCCTCCCCCAAAGCTGCTCTTCTGGTGCTTTGCTAGCACTTCCCCAAAGGTTACCACAGCCATCCACCAGCTGCCATAACTGAGAGGGACACGGCCTCAGTCTCTTCTGAGAAACGCCAATCACTTAACCACCAGTGACCAGCAAGCCCTGCTGAATATTTACAGAATATGTGTGATTCTGCTGGAGGTCAGCTGTTCCTCAAAGTTGGACTTATATGAATTTGATTTTAACAAATATATACTCTGCTAAAAAACTAGTTGAGATAGTCTGGGCTAACTAACTAACTAGACTTAACATAAAAAAACCCAAACCAAATCACGTGCAAGCTGAACGTAATTTACATTTGCTGATACAATTTAACATCAACAACAAAAATAGAAGGTCTTTGTCTTGATGAAATCCTGTCAGCCTTGTCAATTCTAATATTTAGGCAAAACAGTTTTGCAGCTTTCTCATTTCTTGAGAGTTACCACAGCAGTGCTATACTTGGCCTACCACGCTTTACAGCAGTAAGTAGCTATTTCAGGGAAACGGCCTCTAGAAGTCCTATATGATACAGTGAATACCTGCCAGTGAGTTAATTTAAAGAACATATACGCTGCCTTTTGTGGTCCTGTATTTATAACAGATGAAGACATTTCAGTGCTTTCTACTCAGTACACATACTCCACTGCACTGTCTCCCACATTTCTTCAGACCTGGGAGAGCAGAGGCTTGTATTTTTAGGGAAGGGAAAGGGATAGAGAGATAGAAACATTACTGATCAGCTGCCTCCTGCACAATCCCCGTTGGAGATCAAGCCCACAGCCCGGGCATGTGCCCTGACTGGGAATCGAACCGGCGACCTCTTGGTTCCTGGGTCAAAGCTCAGCTACTGAGCAACGCAGCCAGGCTCTACTTACTTTTGAAAATTAAAATAATATTGAAACATTCGCCCAGCCGGGAGTGGCTCAGCGGTTGAGCATCGACCTAGGATCCAGGAGATCGCAGTTCGATTCCCAGTCAGGACACATGCCCTGGTTGCGGGCTCGATCCCCAGTCGGGGGCGTGCAGGAGGCAGCCGATCAATGACTCTCTCATCATTGATGTATCTCTCTCTGTCCTCCTCCTTTCCTCTCTCTGAAATCAATAAAGACATATTAAAAAAAAGAGAGATGAGTAAAATGACACTCACCTGAGCCACAATAGATAGAATTCCTACCATAGCTATGAATGCTGCAATTTTAACAGATCCAAAACCTATGACCTGTGAAAATAGGGGGGGGGAAACACTATTGTTAATACAGATATTATAAAAATAAGAAATGTTATGTTCTAATAAAGCTATAGGACGAAACAGTTGAAAAAAGTTCATAAAACCTTGATAATGGCAAATTAATTTAACAAATATTTTAAAGACATTTTCTATTACAGGCCTATTGTTTCATCTTCCTTCCCATCCCCAACCCACCAAAAAACAAATATGTTATCAAGCATTAGAGAAAATATAAAGAAAAGAATTTGACTTTTATTTGATACAGAATTCAGAATTTACTCACTAGCAAATTCAGTGGCTCTCAACTTTGACTGCACATTAAAAGCACGTGGGACATAGAGAAGGAGGGAGGAAGGGAGAGGGGAAGGGAGCAATGAGACCCTGCAACTAACTGGAGACCAACTGAACCAGATCCTCTGGGCCTAGACACAGGTATGTTTCAAAAGGCTTCCAATGAGCAGCCAACAATTTCTAAGCCTCTGAACCTTAACAGCTCTGAAATGCTTAAAACTGTAAGTTTTAAATATCAAGTTTTTAAAAAGTTAAATTCTTTCCCCCTCTATTAAATTCTATGAAATTCAGAAAAAGGGCTTTAAAAATTATTAATACAATAAAGACTAAAAAGACAATAGGGAAGATTAATGAAACTAAGAGTTAGTTCTTTGAAATAAAATTGACAAACCTTTAGTTAGAATCACACTCAAAAAAAGAGAAATGACTTAAATAAATAAAAATCAGAAATAAAAGAGATTTTACAACTGATACCACACAAAGGGTCGCAAGACACTACTATCAACAAATTATATGCCAACAAAGTAGACAACCTAGAAGAGTGGATAAATTCCTAGGACCATATAATCTAACAAGACAGAATCACAATGACATAATAAATCTGAACAGACTGATTACCAGCAAGGAGTTTCAACCAGTAATCAAAAATTTCCCAACAAACAAAAGTCTAGGACCAGAGGGGTTCACTGGTGAAATCCATCAAACATTCAAAAAAGAATTAATACCAATCCTTCTCAAACTGTTCCAAAAGATAACCCTTCCAAACACATTTTACAGGGCCAGCATTATCCTGATACCAAAATGAGACCAAAATGTCACAAAAAAATAAAATCACAGGCTAATTATCTATGATGAACATAGATGCAAAAATTTTCAACAAAGTACTAGCAAACTGAATTCAATAGTACATTTTTTAAAATCATACACTATGATCAAGTGATATTTATACTACAGAGGCAAGGACGGTTCAACATCTGCAAATCAGTCAATGTGATACACCACATTAATAAAATTACAGATAAAAATTATATGATCATCTCAATAGATGCAAAGCATCTGACAAAATTCAACATCCATTTATGATAAAAACACAACAAAGCTGGTATGGAGGGAAAGTAACCCAACATAATAAAGGCATCATATGATAAGACCAATACACACACACCTTTTCCTCTCAGATCAGGAACAAGACAAGGATGTCCACTCTTGCCATTTGTATTCAGGATAGTACTGGAAGTCCTAGCAGCAGCAAAGAGGCAAGAAAAAAAAAGGCATCCACATTGGAAATGAAGAAGTAAAATTGTCACTATTTGCAGATGACATGATAGTACTTAGAAAACCCCTAAAGACTCCATCAAAAAAAACTATTGGAACACATACACAAAGTCAATAAAGTTGCAGAATACAAAACCAATATAAAAAAAATCTGTTGCCTTCCTATACACTAACAACAAAGTATCAGAAAGAAAAATGAAGAAAACAATCCCATTTACAATCACAACAAAAAGAATAAAATACCTATGAACAGTCTTAACAAAGGAGGTGAAGGTTGACTCTGTACCCTGAAAACTACAAGATATTGTTGAAGGAAACTGAAGATGCAAAGAAATGGAAAGCTGTTCTGTGTTCATGAATTGGAAAACTTAACATTGTTAAAATAGCCATATTACCTAAAGCAATATACAGACTTAATGCAATCCTTATCAAAGTCCCAATGGCATTTTTCACAGAAATAGAACAAAAAAATCCTCAAATTTGTATGGAAAGACCCCAGATAGCCACAGCAATCCTGAGGAAAAAGAAAGGCCAAGGTATCACGCTCTCTGACTTCAAATTATACTACAAAACTACAATAATAAAAACAGTACAGTACTGGCAGAAAAACAAACACACAAATTAATGGAACACAACTGAAAACCCAGAGATAAATCCACACCTATATGGGCAGCTACTTTTCAACAAAGGAGCCAAAAACATACAATGGAGAAAGGAAAGTCAGTCTCTCCAATCAATGGTGCTGGGAAAACTGGACCACCACAAGCAACAGAATGAAACTAAACTGCTGACACCATACACAAAAGGTAATTAAAAATGGATTAAAGACTTGAATGTAAGACCTGAAACAATAAAATACATGGTAGAACACAAACATAGGCACTGAATTTATAGACTTTGGTCTCAGAGGGGTTTTTGTGAACTTGACCCTAAAGGCAAGAAAAGCTGGAAGGATACATGGATGGGACTATTTCAAACTAAAAGGCTTCTGTAAGGCAAAAGACACCACCAACAAAACAAAAAGGCAGCCAACCAAAGGAAAGGAGGTATTTGCAAATGATACCTCTGATAAGGTGCTAATATTTAAAATATATAAAGTACTCCGAAGTACAACTCAAAAACATAAAAAAGCAATTTAATTAAAAAATGGGCAGAGAATCTGAACAGACATTTTTTCATCGGAAAACATACAGGTACATGAAAAAATGCTCAGTATCACTAATTAGAAGAAAAATGGGTATCAAAACCACAATGAGATACCACCTCAAAACTGTCAGGACAGCTATTATCAAAAAGAAAAGATTTAACCCTGGCTGGCATGGGACGGTTGGCTGGGGCGTCATCCCAGACGCTGAAAGGCTGCGGGTCTGATTCCCAGTCAGGGCCCGTACGGAGGCAACCAGCTGATGTACCCTCTCTCACCCCTCCCCTTCTAAAATCAGTAAGTATATCCTTCAGTGAGGATTGAAAAAAGAAAAGAATTAACAAGCGTCAGCGAGGATATTAAGAAAAAAGAACACTGTGAACTCTTAATGGGAATGTTAACTGATGCAGCCACTATGGAAAACAGTGTGATGGTTGCTCGAAAAATGAAGAATAGAGCAATCATATAACTCAGCAATCCTTCTTCTGGGTATCTACCTGAAAAAATTAAAAAACTTATTCTTAAAGCTGTATGAACCCCTATGTTCACTGCAGCATTATTCGTAATAGCTAGGACATGGAAACAACCTAAGCATCCTTTGAAGAATGACCAAATAAAGAAGATGTGGTACATATACAAAATGGACTACTACTCAGCCATAAAAAAGATAAAATACTGTCACTTGGGACAACATGGATGAATCTTGAGAGTACCTGTGTTAAGTGAAATAAGCCAGACAGAAAAGGAGAACTGTATGATTTCATATGTGAGATACAAGACAAACAAACAAAAACAACAAAGAGAAAACATCTCACAGACACAGACAGCAGAATGGTAGTTACCAGAAGGGAATGGGGGTTGGGGGAAGAGAGAAAAAGTAAAGGAGGTCAAATACATGGTGACAAAAGGACACTAGGCTTTGAACGGTGAGCACTATGCACTATAAAGTTGTACATCTGAAATTTATATAATGTTATTAACCAATGTTATTCCAATAAATTTAAGAAAAATAATAATAAAATTAAATACCTAAGGGGAAAAAATTGGTTGCATTTCTTTCTTTCTTTTAAATATATCTTTATTGATTTCAGAGAGAGGAAAGGAGAGGTAGATAGATAGAAACATCAATGATGAGAGAGTCATTGATCTGCTGCAGCCCGCAGCTCGGGCATGTGCCCTGACCGGGAATCAAACCCTGATCGCCTGGATCCTAGGTCAACGCTCAACCGCTGAGCCACACACAGCCGGGCTGGTTGTATTTCTTTACATTAATAATGAACTATAAGAAAGATAAATCCATTTTCAATTGCACCAAAAAGAATAAAATACATAGGAATAAATTTAACCAAGGCAGAGAAAGACATGTATATTTAAAACTATAAGGTATTAATGAACAAAGTTGAAGAAGACACAAAGAAATAGAAAGATATTCTGTGCTTATGGACTGGAAGAATTAATACTGTTAAAATTTCCACACTCTACCCAAAGAATTATACAAATCAATGCATACCTATAAAAATTCCAATTATATTTTTCCCCAAAACAGAAAAAACAATCCTAAAATCTGTAAGGAAACACAAAAGACCCTGAATAGTCAAAGCAATCTTGAGAAAGAACAAAGCTGGAGGCATCACACTCCTCAATTTCAAATATATTTAAACAGCATGGTACTGGCATAGAAACAGACAAATAGATTAATGGAACCAATTAAGAGAGCGCAGAAATAAACCCATGTATATATGGTCAATTAATTTATGATGAAGCCAAGAACATACAATGGGAAAAGACAGTCTCTTCAAAAACAGTGTTGGAAAAATTGGGCAGCCATGCAAAAGAATGAAACTAGACCACCTTGTTACACCACACACAAAAATTAACTAAAAATCAATTAAGGACTTGAATGTAGGACCTGAAACCATAAAACTTATAGAAGAAAAGTAGGTAGTAAGCTCCCTGACATAGGTCTTGGCGATGACTCTGTGAATCTAACACCAAAATCAAAAGCAACAAAAGCACGAATAAACAAGTGGGACTCTATCAAACTAAAAAGGAAATCATCAACAAAATGAAAAAGCAACCTACTGAATGGGAAGAAATAATTGGATGTCATATATCTGATAAGGGACTAATATCCAAAATATCTAAAGAATTCATGCAACTCAGCAGCAACAAACAATCCAATTTTAAAAATGGGCATAAAAAAAATAAATTAATTTAAAAAAAAAGGGCATAAAACTGAACAGACATTTTTCCAAAGAAGACATACAGGTGGCCAACAGGA